AGAAAACAATGATTTGGAAGAAAATATTAATCCAAGACGTTATTATAATAGCCAACTTGCAAAGGTATAGAAACAGTAGTTCGACGAAGTGGGACATGTTTCTCCCATCTTTGGATCTCCTCCTCACTCCGAAGCTTTCTAATCCCTCCATAGCATCCACTTGGTTCTTCATATTCTTCCCCATTTCTCTGTAGCTTTACTCGTCTCATTCTTGATCCCTCAGAGTATTGCTTGAACTCCAACATCAATGTATCTGACAGTAAACCAAATTTCATACGCGCAAACCAGTGAGATAACTTATTCTGCACTATATATATAAGCATTCATCTACCATGTTAGTGTGTCAAATAGACTTCTCACCAGAATGGCGACAGTTGCACAAGTTCTCATTTTCATTACAGGATTCTATGTGACCAATAACAGCATAGCACCAATCTGCAAACCCATATTGATTAGGCTTAACCTAAACGTCCTACATCCAAATTTATGTTACAACTAAGAAAGCAAAATGACAAGAAACCTACCATAAGAAGTTTCTCTTCTGTATCTCCGTTGGATCTCGATATGATCACCTGGTTTCAGCTCTGACAAACAATCAGAGACGTATCTGACATATGGAAGCGTATCAACTGGAGGAGCTCTCACTTTATCCCATTGGACGTTGTTGGCCATTATGTGCCAACCACCAGATTGTAGTCTACAAGTACATTAATGATTTAATTATAGTTAAGATATTCAATTTTGCTAATTTTCATTTATTAATCTCGGATTAAAAAAATAACCACACTATACATATTAGTATTTCCCTCCTCATCTGTGATCTCACTTTACCTTGCTTGAAAGTTATCAGTTTTGGAATCATATCTAAGTAAGGCGTCACGAACAAAGACTCCCTGAAAAAAAGAAACACGGTGATCTCTTAAGAAATTTCTTATTGAAAAGTATAACCGGTAAGCTAACCAGAAATAGTTTACCATAAAGACTTGAGCTGGGAACCAGAACTTGCCATTCTCTAGAGAGAAATACAAGGCCATCAAGCTATTTGACAATGAGCTATTAAGATGGCTACAATCTTCTAGATATGATCTGAGATATAACATTGGCCAAGTACCATTGAAAGGTCCCAATGATCCCTTCTGATTGATTTCTTTATTCAATTGGTTAAGTTCTTTCTCCTTAACTGCTGTGATATGCCATTGCCACTCCTTGAAAGCGACATCACCAATGACTCCACCCCATTTCTGCTTTATGTGGACTTCCCACAAAGAATCACTTCGACAATTATCCCTTAAACAAGTACACACTTCAGACATTCCAACCAGTTCTTGTGGTGAAAGAAGCTTTAGAATGCGTTCCAAAATGGGCTCTGGAAGATTCAAGAGAGAAATACTGCCTCTGGGTCCAATGACATTCATGGTATGATCAAAAGGGTATTAGATACAGAAGTAGCAAGGTAGGGTACTCTTGTGTGCTGTGCTTCCTTGAGGCGTATATATATATATATATATATACGAATGAACAAAGATGATATGATCAAAGTTGTTGAAAAGAATTTGCAAATTTTTAATGTTTGCTTGTTTTCGAAGCATTTAATGTTATGGTCTTACCTGTCACTTGTCAATGGGGACATTTTCCTCGTTGCCGGCTACTCCTTTTTGTGGCATATTATTTAGATCAAATTTTAGATAGTTGAGACAAAATATTCTTTGTATTTTAGGGACAAAATGTGGACTGCTAGATTGATCTCAACCTAGTTATCGATGTTGTCGCTTGGATAGAGGACTCATTGTCTTGGTTACAGCTTGCCACACTGATGCAAAATAATATTAGTGTGACACCAATTCGAAGACCATATATACCACTCAACTTTTAATGTAAGGACTTAGCGTATACGTAATCCAATTATTTTAAAGAAATGGAGTTAAATTTATATTGTAATTAGACAATTGGCACCTTTTGCCTATAATGCAATTAGGAAATTTTAATTTATTTTGGTAAATATGACATAGGTATATATTCCTCATAAAAAATAACTCATATCATCAAGTATCAATCACTGCCTGTTTGGAATAGTTTAAGAAAAATAATGACGTCATGATCATATTATCTCCTTTGATTCATGTAAATGCAATTGTTGTCAAAGAATCCTTCCCTGCATGTCAATTTTTATAACCTACCATGAGGGTCTTGCCTTTTTTATATTGTCTACATCTAAATCGATCTTTTCTGTGATATAAAATCTCATTTTTATAATCAATTTTAAAAGTGTTTTCCACGTATGGATTATTAATATATTTCATGTTTTTAGAAAAAAAACTCACTCGATGATAATTTTTTACCAAATTGAATGCATTTGTCGGTTTTATGATTACGTGAAGTCAAATTCAACTTTGCTACATAATCTTTTGTTAAGAAATAAATGAAAAAAAAAATTATCATTCAAAGCTTTAAGACCATATCGATCCAATCCATACTTTTTACCATGAACCACCTCTCACAACAAATCTCAATGACACCTTTTGCGGCTAATCCTAATTATACAGAATTGAAATTGTATTATTGTGAAAAGTTTAGTACAATATATTTTTATTTGAGCAGCTACGAAGACATCAACAAAGTTGAAAGAGCGCCTGAAAGTAAGAAAATAGACATAATATTTTAGATCAAAGTTTATATCATAATTGAAATTCTACTAGCTAAAACAACTGACATGAATCAATAAGAAAATTTTATTACGAACTTTTCATGAAAATATTTATTAGTCAAATTTTAGATTGCTGTTGTTTTTCTTTTAATAAACTAGGTAAATATATAATATAAGGAAGATAATACAGTTATTCTAGGGTGTTCAAAATTATCACCTCCGTACGTTATAATCCAATTTTTGAATATTTTGGATCCCGTATACATTCACACTTTATTATAGTTGAGAGATCATCATGCACATTTGTCAATAAAAGATTTGAAGAAATGAAGTTGGATATGGCAAATTCACATTATCTCTCAAATAAAACCTAATAATTAAAAACAATTTTGTGATAGTCAGCATACAAAACAAACAAAAATGAGCAATCAAAATATACTCTTGGTAAAATAAATATATTAGTGATTTTTTAATATTTAAAAAAAATGAAAAATAATAAGATATGCTTGTTTACAATTAAAACAACACTTAAAAGACTCCGTTAATTTTATGAGAAAATATCCAAAGAAAATAATCTTATTTTAATTAGATTTTATATTCTTTTCAAATTTTAATTATTTTGAAAAGTTGAAACTCATGAAAAATTAAAAAGATAAGAATCACTGTTTTTCTTCTTAAATATTCTTTTATGGAAAAATAGCATAAGATTATTTATGTTTATTTAGCTATGAAAATCAGATATAAAAAAAAAAATAGCAACTGATTTTATGAGAAAGTATTCAAAATAACTTGTGATTTGAATTAGATTTTATATTCTCTTTTCAGCTTATGATTATTTGAAACAGTTAAACAAATGCGTAAAAAACTAAAAATAGGTTATTCTTTTTAAGAAAACGGGGCCCCTTATTCACCGGGTTTTACTAACTAACAAAACCAGATAATTTGATCATTTGAGTGGTTAATAGAGTGTTATTATTTAAATATATGTCTACAAGAGTTTATAGAAGAAAAACAAGTGAATTTATCCTTTTACATAGGCATAAGTTTACAGGGTTTTTTTTTTACATAACTTTTAACTTATTGCAAAGTTAGCTTTTTAAATATTATTTCCCTCTAAAACCACTGTACAAAAAATAGTCCAAATATATTTATATATTAGGCAATTGTAAATGAAAATAAATTTTGGTTTACCTGAACTTGAAGTTGAAAAGTAATTATGGGAATCGGAGTACTTCTGTTGGTATTCTTCTCCGACATACAAAACGTTGAGGCATCTGCATAAAATCAGTAATGTAAATATTTCTTATTTCTTGAACTAAGAATCTCAAATCTGTTTTTCTCTCTTTTTTTTTACATTAAAAGTTAAAAACCTTATCTATTCTATACATTTTGAGTATAAAATCATGAGAATAATTATATCATTTGTTCCCCTTTGATGTCCTTCTGCTCATATTTACTTCACATGTTTAAAGTAAGCAACTTCAACAAGGTGGAGTTCCTTTTCATTTAGGAATATGTCCAACCTAAACAAAATATCAGTGATCCATTTGACCAATTAAAACTTAAAAACAACTAAAATCACACCCAATTTTGAATAATTGTATTATAAAATTAAGTAACTTGTGAGCATTGTTTTAAAGAAATCATGTCATCGTAAGGACAATTTCAATTTTTTATTTTTCATAATGAAAAGTCGTATTTGATATATATATATNTGAATTCCCAATTTCACAATTATGAATGTTTATTTGTCAACATGGTTTTATTCAGCAATCAGTGTTCTGTTGTCAATTCCCAATTCCTATGGCTGCGTAATGATTTGAGTTAGTATTGGTTGAGAGTTCTACAAGTTTTAACATCTGCATTAGTTATCCATGGGGCACGTCAACCACATCTATCATCCGGTGCATTCCAACGCCAATCGGATGCCTTTGCCTCTCATACACTTCTTGAGACTGTTTTTCAACTGTAGCATAAACTTAGTGGCGATTCTTTAATTCTTGAAAGTTTCTGTAGCTTTTAATTAATGTTCAATAAATTGCTTGAGGCGTATATATATATATATATATATATATGTATGTATGTATGTATAATGAATTTATTATGTCAAATATTAAAAGTACAAAAGTTAGTATTATATATGGAGAACTACTTTTTTAAAATAAAGAAGTCGTGCTTTTCAAAATATATTAGTTAATTTTGTAATTTTTGACTATTTACTTAATTTTATAGTTTTTCTACAATTTGCTTTCTTTGACAAATTATACTAAAAGAAGTTTTCCTGTTATAACATGTATTCTTCCCTGTGGAAGGGAGTGAAAAAATGTTATTAAACTGTGCAAAGTTGTAGTGTGGGTTAAGGAATGTATACAGGAGTTTGATTATAGAGTGGCAAGAGCTTCTCCCATCTTTGGATCTCCTCACTCTGAAGCTTTCTAATTCCTCCATAGCATCCTGTTGCTTCTTCATATTCTTTCTCATTTCTTAGAAGCTTTACTCGTCCCATGCTTGATCCCTCATTGTATTGCTTGAACTCCAATACTAAAGTATCTGAATGCATCCCAGGATCAAACAAACATATATAATTTGAATAAATAATTATCCCATTTGGAATAATCAACCATGTTGAACATGATAGCTGATAACTTATGCAAGCCATTAGTCATGCAAAATGATTTCTCACCTGAGTAACCACAGCGACAGAAGTTCTGGTTTTCATTACATGATTCCATGTGACCAACAACAGCATACCACCAATCTGCATTGTTTTAAATTCAAAATATGTTGAAGAAGCGTAATTCTAACTCAATCATACAAATTTATATATTAGGTTAAAGCTTACATTTACTTATGGATACTACTGCAACACTTTATTTTATCAGTTGACGTGAGATCTATATCAATAAATAGTAAACCTACCATAAGAAATTTCTCTTGATCTCTTTTGGATCTCAATGTGATCTCCTGGTTTTAAGTCTTCCAAACAATCAGAGACGTAGCGAACACATGGAGGGGTATCAGTTGGGGGAGCCCTAAGGATTTCCCATTGGATTCTGTTCCCCATTGCATGCCAACCACCATTTTGTTCTCTGCAAAAACTTTGCCTTATATCATACTTAAACTAAACATGAATAAACATAAATATCCTTCCACTCTACCTTGCTTCAAAGTTATCAGTTTTGGAATCATATCCAACCAAGGTATCACGAACAAATCCTCCCTGTCAAACAAGAAACATAAAATATCATTTCATGTTGGTTAAAATTGAAAATATAAAACATATATGCTAATATTAGAAAGGGTTTACCCTGTAGATTTGAGCTGGAAACCAGAATTTTCCATTCTCTAGACAGAAATACAAGACCATCTTAAAGCTATTTCTGAATGAGCTATTGAGACGGCTACAATCTTCTAGATATGATCTGAGGTGTAACACAGGCCAAGTACCACTGAAAGATCCCAATGATCCGTTATGGTTGTTCTGTTGATTCGATTGGTTGTTTCTTTTCTCCTTAGCAGTAGTGATGTGCCATTGCCACTCCTTGTAAGCAACATCACCAAATATTCCACCCCATTTCTGCTTTAAGTGCACTTCCCACAGAGGATCACTTCGACATCTATCCCTTAAACAAGTACACACTTCAGACATAATAACGAGTTCCACTGGTGAAAGGAGCTTTAGAACGAAATCCAGTATGGGTTCTGGCAAATTCAACAGAGAAAAATGGCCACTGGGTTCCATCTTCTCCATGTCACGTTAGTTTTTTCAGTAAGGTAAAAGGGTGTTAGACACAAAAGCTGTTGTGTACTTCCTTAAGAATTGTAAAATCAAATATTGACAAGGAATTTGCAAACCTTTGCTTTCGTTTGCCTCTATCTTCTGACATTAAAGAGACATTTCCTAATTGCTTTCGTGATGATCATTATGTCAAATGTTTCTCACCGAACAATGAACATGCCGTGCCGGCTATTCCTAAGCGTGGCATGTCGTATTCAAAGCTAAGCGTTAATATTAGGATAATTGTAGTTACTTCAGAGAGAGAATATTCAAACCGAGTTGCTTGTCCTTGTTCAATTGTAGCCTGTAAGTAAAATAAATAGTCATGGATAGCCATAATGCATTTGGTTTTTGTTTCTTTGTTTTCTACTTTGTTTTTAGTAGATTAAGTTTGGAAATCCATGATGAAATAATCATTTTCTTAACAATAAAAGAAAACTCAACACATACGGCCAAGTGTCATATTTAAAATTAATATATAACTATAGTATTGGTTTGTTTGTGCAATATACAATATGACTATTTATTTTATATAAGCCTATGAAATTATAATTATAAAAAAATATATAAATAATTTTTACAATATGATTGTAACATCCCAAAAATACAGTATAAACTATATAATAGAATAATTACATTTAATAATAATTCAGATCAGTCTTACATTTAGAAGAGCGTACGTTTATGGTCGAACGGCCTTACAGACAGAGTTACAAACTTAAACTGTACAGCGGTACAAAACTAACCGAACGGTTTACAAAATAATATACCGATCAGTCATACATAACAAAAGGGGAAGGTGATCGAACGACCACCTCACTATAAAGACTAAACTACTAACCGAACGTTCTACTGTTCGGTCTTAACTTCAACCTCGACCAAATTTTCTTCTTCCAACAGCTCGTCCCCTTCTACTCACATCCACACGGATGATCATTACAACGACAAGATGAACGTACAAAACAAGATAAGACAGGAAATACAGGGTAAACTTATGTAATTTAATTCACGCATAAACATACATTTTAAACAATTCAACATACAATGTAAATTTCAACATACGTATCATACAAAACCTATTTCTAGACTGACTGTCCGGACTGTATGAAATCTGTGTAGCTACAAGCGTTCGTGCACCCGGGTGATGTAGTAACTGGGATGCCCTCAACAGTGTCACCCGAGGTTAGTCCTATCTGTCCAAAGTACCCCTAAGGACTAGGACCTCCTGTCGTTCCCACACATGACCTACCCTCTTCTACGTGAAGACAAGTACTCACGGAACATCAGGATGAACAACCAGCTTAGCATGCCCACAGTCATACTTTACAAATTCCAATATTCATACATGACTCGTTCCTCCCCGGAACGCTCGTCCATAATCCACAACATTTCCATATCACATTTTCTTCATCTTTCATTAATAAGTATCTCATTTAACCACCTCGCACAAAGATTCATACGAATTCTAAATAACGAACGTTCTAAATGAACTCAGAACGAGACCGAACACGTAGAGCGAGATCGCGAGATCTCAAATTTCGGAATAGATTAAGAACAAGGGGTTGATATCGGGTTGAAAAAGATAACGAACACTATCACATATTCCAAGAAACGAATAGAACGAACGTCCATTACAACACTGAGCCAATTAGATGAATTGACTCTTGAGAATTCCATCTTAACATCAAAAAGACTAGATCAAGAACGAAGACTCCAGAATGAAACCAATGAATAAGGATACTTCAAGGCATTCAAAACTAATACTTAGAATGATTCACATGAAGTAACTGAACACTTGTGAATACTTAGTTTAATTGAGTTTAGTATCAAGAAATCCAAATGCCATTCATAGACTGAACACTATAGTGAGCGAACCCTAGAGGGCTTGAACGAACGCTCTTATTATGAAGTTTAGCTTAAGAAGCTAGAACGAGTGCCTGGTGTAAGACCAAACACTTGCTTAGGACGAACACTTAGTATAAGACTTAGTGCTACTAAATTTAAAGAGAAGAGGTTTGATAAATATATTAAAATAATATTGGAGTAGTGTTTAAGAATAACTAAAATATACAAATACGTATAGAGATATATATACTTAAGCTTATCACGGAATACCAAGACGTAACTATACTTGGCCTAACGCCAAATCATAGTATTACAACACGAAGACGCTCGTCCTTAACTAGGATTCTTCCCAAATGAAAGAATCCAATTCTAACCAATTTCACTTAGAAAACCGAACGGTCAAAGACCGTTTAGTAACGAACGTACACTTTCATAAGGGAATTTCACACTTAGGAATCATTTATCTCAATTCAATTTCTCAACATTTAACTACATAAGTTCATACATCTATATCATATCAATTTCATATATTTTGTACATCTGAACATAGCACAACCATATTTCATTTCCATTCATCAAATCAACGAACTTTCATACAACACAGTAAACATACAGATTAAATTAAATAAGCTTCCCTTACCTCTGAGCGTGAACGAACGTTCCTAGAGGCAAAATACAGTTCACCACTACCAGTTCTTCTACCCTCAATGCTTGACAATTTTTCCAACTAAACCAAGTAAAACCAAAACACTCTCAGAACTCCTCATTTGAAGAATGGTGATCAACACCTGAAACCAGAACTGGGTTTGCATGTCTAGGAAAACGAACGGTTGGTGAAGAGAAGGACTTACCAGGTCAGCTTCACAAACCGAACGGTTTAACTGGAAGCTCTTGACGTCGGGAGTGCTTCTACGGTGTCTGAATGGAGATCGGAGAAGAGAAAGGGTGAGTTTCCTTAGAGAGAAGATGAAGGAGATGTAGTGAGAAGGAGGAGAAAAAGAGATTTTTCAGAATCTGGGAAGAAGGGTGCATGCAGAGAGTGAGACAAAAATTTTCAAAAAAATCAGTTTTGCTTCCCTCGTCAAAACGAGCGTATGCTCATCTGTTGACACCTGTCTTCCACTATCTGATTTCCAGATCCTCGTTGCTTGACACCTAACGTCCGTTCAGAGGGGTTTTGGGTGCGGTTTTAATGGTTCTGACAATGATTATGTAATTTTTATTTATTTTATAGATAATTTTTATTTATTTAATTTTAAAAAATAGTTAAATTAAAAAAATAAAAAATATATATAGTCAAATTTAAAAAGAATCATTTAAAAAGTAAAATTAGAAAACTACGTGAACATAAAAGAAAAAAAGAAATCCTCTTTATATAATAGTATAAAAAATATAAATAAAATTACAATAACTAAATACTTTGATATATAACTATATAATAATAAAATTGATTATAAAGAAACTCAACATATAAATTATACTTTAGATCTCATATTTTCAATTATTGATAATTTATTTCAAAATATTAAATTTTAATTTAATTTTTTTGAAAAGGATAAACAAAAGAGACCTGATGTTAAAAAATCTTAAAGATTAATTACTTTCATTGAAAAAAAAATCGTAAAAATATTCCTTCAGAGAACAACAATAAAAATATTTTCATTTCATATTATTCCAATTTAATTATACATTGAAAGAGAAATATGACACTTAAACAATTTTAAGTTCAACCACAACATGAGCATTTAATTTTATTTTTAAAGTAAAAGGTTGTGTATATAATTTCTTACATGTTTTCAACTGGAAAAAGTTACGTTGGGAAACTAGTTAGCTATAGTTTGTAAGATTCGTAGTGCCAAAAACAACCTACTGACTTGTCTGTTTCAATACCAGATTCCAACTTTTTCTCATACAATATTAAGAGCTCTAATATATGTACACTAGGACTTACACTAAATCAATTATATTTTCGAAAAACTAATAATATATAAACTGCAAGAAATGCTATATAACTTTTTTATGTAATAATTTGATTTTTACATGGTGACCAACCAGTCCCCAAATCTAAACCGTTAGGGAACAGCCTTTGCAACAGCAAACCAAAAATAGGTTAAGATTTGACGTAATAAAGGATGTGTCATGAACGTTCAACAGCAATTTTGGCTGGAGTTGGTTGATATTGATAAGCCTTTTGCCACCTTGTAGTAAAAGCTCCTTATTTTTTTGGCCCACACGCAGCGTCTTGAATTCTAATTCTGATCCAAGTTTCCATTTTCTTCTCACAATATTTGCTTTGGCATATATTCTCCTCCTAGCCGATCGATCCCTGGTGTATCGCAAGGCATGGATCAGGCAGAGCTTGTGCGAGTTTTTCAAATGTTTGATAGAAACGGGGATGGGCGAATCACGCGGCAGGAGCTGACTGACTCGTTGAAAAACCTGGGAATCTCGATCTCAGAGCCAGACTTGACCCAAATGATCGAGAAAATCGACGTTAATGGAGACGGGTACGTGGACATGGACGAGTTCGGGGAGTTGTACAATGCGATAATGGACGATAAAAACGAGGAGGAGGACATGAGGGAAGCATTCAACGTGTTCGATCAAAATGGAGATGGGTTCATCACGGGAGAGGAATTGGGCGCCGTGTTGTGTTCTTTGGGGCTAAAGCATGGCAAAACCATTGATTATTGCATGAGCATGATCAAGAAAGTGGACGTCGATGGCGATGGAATGGTTAACTTCAAAGAGTTTAAGCAAATGATGAAGGAGGGAGGGTTTGCCGCTTCACCTTCGATACTCTGATGCATCATGCATCTGTAACTTACATTATTTTCTTTTTCTCTTTTAAATGCATAGATGGAACAACTTAGCTCGTGTAAAAGAAGAAATGATTGAGATGTGCTCTTTGTAGAATATTAATGTCTATCATATCTCAATGGAATCACTGTGGGAATAGTTTCTGCTTTTATCAGAATTTCGATTCCTTCATTCCTCAATCTGTTGCTGCTTAAATGAAACTAACTTTATCCAAAAACATTTCTCACAAAACCTTTTCATATTGACCACCATTATTCAGAAATCTTGCTTCACGTGCAGACCATAAAAATCCAACTCTGGTTAATGGT